GGAACTTACGTAATTACCCATTATACATTGTGATATAGCCTGGTTCGTTGGTCCGTTAGATCGGATTGCTTTCTCACTACAACCGAACCGCTCCAGAGTTCGTTTTCAATCGAGCCGAGACCACCTCGTTCAGGTGATCTCGGACCGATTGTTTTGGCGCGGATCCGAGCACGATTGCCATGTTCACATATGCCCAAACGAACCGAGCTAAGGGGGGAAACGTGCCAGGCTGCGAAACAACGAGCCAGGTGTGAAAGTACCCTTAAAATCTGCCATTATTGTTCATGAAGCTCAGCCAATCGGCTAAGTAGTAAATTCCATGTGACAGTTGAATCTAATATTTCACATTTTGTGTAGTGTACACTACACTATATTTTAGAAAATTAAACAATTCCTTGAGTTTTAAACATATTTTGGAAATATAAGTCATAAAATGAGTTGACTAGTGACATTAACGAAGAACATAGACTAAAGTTAGCTCAACCTCCTGCTCAGACAGTCAATTATTGTATTGTGAGGAAACTCACATGGCCTGGCGTTCCATTTGTCAGGCTTCTTAAAGGACCTAAATTCAGGAAGGTGATTTTCTCCAGGAAATACACCTGGCTTCCTGTGGGGAATTACCTTTCAGTTTGTAAGGGACACGGATATGTGTCACTGTCACTGATTCAATGCTTGTTAAGCCCTGACGTGGCTAGCTTAGCTGAATTGCTGTGCTAGGGTGAACTCCACAGTCATTTGGAGTCACTAATGACCGAAGTTAGGAAGTGATTTTCTGTGCAGAAATCTCAGAGCAGTGGATTATCCACGAGAAATGCTTCGTAATTGGAAGAAACACTCAGAGAGCTCGATTGTCGTTCTGAACTCACCACTTCCTAATTACAAGTAAATAGATACAGGCTGATAAACACTCACAAAACGGCACAGCGTTTCCTAAATTCCCAGACATAAATAAATATATATATATATATTTTGTGGCCTTGTTTCCATCAGGGCGTCTCATTAGAGAAGAGTGAATTTAAGGGGCTAAAACCAGTCTCGCAGACGATGGCTTTGAGAAATGCATCATCTGCACAATACTGAGCTCTGTAAACCCACACAGCACAGAGCCATTTTATGTGATGACACGGATCCTCCATTGTCATTCATTCCTGTTAATGCCTCACTGCTTATCGCCACTCACTCTTCCTCCAAATGTGGAAATTACAGCCGGCCACAGTTATCACCCACAGACTGCAGGCTGCCAGGGAGCACCAGCTGGATTACCCTGCTCCACCAATTACCCGCCAAACCCTGAGCAGGAAATTATTTTCATCATTTATGCTCCAGTCAGCTGGCATTGTGGTTTGACACAGGGCAGATATATTGGAGAAGCCAGGGTAGCAGCAGTGTCTGAAAAACTGGATATCAGCAGAGATTTTTACTGGATCGTATAAACATTTGTACTGTAGGTCTACAATGAGCCTCTATAAACATGAAAGAGAGCAACAGTTTGTTCAGTGCATTATAGCGCTATAATTTCATGTTTTACGAGAGCAACATGCTTGTGGCAGTATCTTTTTATTATTACAACAATGTTTTTGTATGTGACCGAGGAATGAAATAATACTACAGCTGCTGTTTCATTGTGTTGCAGGCATGAGGATCCTGGTAACGCTTCTGCTGGACACTCTCTAAAATTTCCAAAGGGTGCCGCGACAAAAAAAAGGTTGGGAAACACCGTTCTAAAGCATACATAAGCCTTGTGTGAGGAACCCACTGAATTTTTTGTTTTTCATGAACAAATCTTCTGACGTACGTATTTTTAGTTACCAGGTTAACCCCATTCACATTGAATGATTCACTCACAAGTTCAGTTTACTGACTCAGTCTGCCCTGATCCAGTGATCCAGTCTGGAAATTTTGCTCTGATTATCACATTAAGTGGAAGGCTATAGTTTATGATACTTTTGTGTGCTTTTGCATTCTTTTGTGCCATTTTTGAAGCTTGAAAGCCTCACTATTTTAAGAAGTAATTCTTATTTTATCCTTTGTACAGGCCTACAAGTCTAGACCTGCACAACTACTACCACACAGAAAACGATGATGAAAACCCGTTTATCTGTTCTCAACCACGGGAGAATGGCGTGCGTCTATGCACCTCCATCCCCACGCTCCACAAAGAGGGCCGGCAGTGCCAGCTGGACATGGCATTGTGCTGCTGCTTTGCTTCTTTGTTTTCTTCATCTTTGGGATTGTAGGGGTCCAGCTGTGGGCCGGGCTTCTCCGCAACCGCTGCTTCCTCCCAGAAAACTTCTCCCTGTGAGTGTGATGGCTTGGGTTTTAGTATTACAGTCATGATTCATTTGACCTCAGGAGTCTTGAAATTAGAAGGTTTATAATGTGAGCACATTATTGTAATGGTGAAAGGCCAAATGTTATCACAAGATCCATTTAAATGGGATTTTATGGGATAAAAGCAATAAAGAGAAATGCATAAATTAGCAAAGACAAACAAATAAATATTATTTATTTCTGTATGTGTATGTATATATGTTAAGCTATTATTTTAATAAATGTATTTTACTTATTTATAATTTATATTTTTTATTTTATAGATATATATATATATATATATATATATATATATATACTATATATTTTTCCTGTTTTTTTTTATTTTTTGCATATTTGTCACACTTAAAAG